GTGTGTGTGTGTGTGTGTGTGTGTGTGTAATACGTGATATATTATATATATATTTATATGATATGCATGTAATTTTCTTAATTAATAATATATATAATATATATATTTATATGCATATGTGTGTGTGATAACGGAAATGTTACTGGTGGTGTACCCCATTCTTGTTTATCATTATTATTGTCGGATTTTATAAAGAAACTTTCGTACAGAGTACTAGAAAGTTTTGTATTTCTGACCAAGATATTCATCTCCTATTTTGTGAATTTATTCTCATTTAATTCATTCCTTTCCTACATTCGTCATCAAGAATACGGTTCATAGATTGATATTCTTTTGACACATTTTCTGGCGTCTGGGACGTCCATGGTTTCTGAGTCTCAGTCAAAAAGGCAATGTGTTCCATGGATTTTGATTCTAAACAAAACTTAAAGCGTAAACAAAAAAAAAAAAAAAAAAAAAAAAGTCTAGAAGCTGATTTTATATGCGTCTGTGATGTGTTTATAAGAAATCTGCAAAGAACATCAATTCGCTTTTTCGAAATAAGAACTTCGCAAAGAACATGAAATGATTTGTTCGGAAATAAATTAACCTAGCAAGGAATTAAAATGCTTGTTTGAATGTTTCAGAAATTGTTTTCTGAGGCTGTGCTACGTTGAATGAGCAGAACAGACGTTTTTATTCCAGACGTTTTAGAAAACAGAATGAGGAAAATAATTATTGGATGCTTAAAGGTATTTGTCTTTATTATTCGTTATGGTGGACTATCTCGGAGAAATACCTACATCGATTTGAATTTTTAGCGGAGGTCTTTTGAAAAAATGTGATGATTATGAATAATAATAATTCCAAATCTTTTACAATCATTATAATTTTATTTTACACTGGTTTAACATAGATTTCCACGGGAGAAAGGAACGATTGCACACCATTACTCCTCAGGAACAACAGTTGTAGGCACAGGTGTTGTGAAATCCCCCAGGAAGCATTCGTAGAAGATGCAGACCTCCCACTCCTCAATCTGAAAAGAAAAAATGGACACTGAAATAACACGTAATGCCGAAATAGGGACACAAAATGAGAATACAGAAAGAGGGATTAGAGAAGAGTGAAGGAAAGTGCTTAATCTGTGTGAATGTATGAGACATGAATTCTTCCTAAAGCATAATGGGGAAGGAGCAGAACTTACGCTTTGAGGCGAGCAGGACTCTGCGCCAGAAACGAGGCGGTCGAGGAGGTCAGGACGAGTGTCGTTAAGGGCGGGAGTCAGCCTGTCCAGGAAGGGCTGAGGGTCGACTGTTCCGTCAGGCCTTACCTGGAAGGGGGGGGGGAGTGATAATGATCATGGGAATGTGAGAAAACAGGTCATGTGACTGTTGTCATCTACTTATACGGAGCAATAAAGGTTACTGATGAGGGAACAAATGTTTAAAGTACAGTACAGTATCCTCAAATGATTTATATATACTTTACATTTCCCACACGGCTATTAAGCATGAAAATTGAGTGCCTTAAGAGGGCCATGCCCTTGGACTTACCTCTCCACGCTCCTGCAGGACGCACTGCTTCACTGCCAGGTGGTTCTCCTCGGAACCAAAGAGCACCAGAGCCTGTACGTCTGTGGGGCTGAAGAGGAGCTCAGGGTCCACTGGAGAGCGAGGAAAGGATCATTAACAGTTTGAGATTTCTTTCGTTTTCATGTTCAATGTCTGTATTTTCCCATATTGCCACTGCTAACACTGCTACCAACAGCACTGCAGTTATTAGCATTACTCTTTATGAATATGTTGTGAGTAGCATGATCAACCTTATCTTGACTCATTTCCCTACAATGATATTTGTTACAAATGTTATGAAAGTCCTCCAGGTACGTGGATATCAATGCGGCTCAAAAAGGAAAAAGAAAAAAAGAAAAAGTGAAGTTGTAGCCTCACCGTCATCGAGATGGCTGAAGCCGTTTCCATCGAGGCATTTCCTGTATATTTCTCTCCTTGTTTGTTCATCATGTTCAGTTGCGAAGAGGTTCTTGCAGACTTGCAGCTTTAAGAAGACATCAAGTGCGTTTAGGATTGGAATTACTGCTAAACTAGGCAAACTATCTTAAACTAATTTATGATAATCAATGTTATAGAATTTCTTCTTGCACAGAAACAACACCGACCCACAGAAAAAATAAATAAAAATGAGGAAACTAGAAGCACTCAAAGAGCGCATACCTCCGCCAAGGCAATTGGGGCAACTGAGGCAATCATTTAGAATTTTAAAAATTCCTGGATCCGGATCATAACCCAGATCACCATCAAAATTTAATATCATCCAACCTCTGTTCATAACTTGTGAGTTACCCTGCCAACCAATGAACAAACACACTAATCAACACTACGGAAGACATAACCTCCTTGACGGAGATCATTAAACAAAATGAAACAGTACTCACATCAGCATCACACGAGGCCACATTATCAGCTCCCACACATGTTACATCTGAAGGAAAGATACTGTT